CCTTCACCCTCGTACTGCTGCTCAAAAGATGGAAAAGTCTTATGCTAAATGTTAATTTGAATACTAATTTGAGCCAATTATCATTGCTTACCAATCTGAAGAGCGGAGATCCTTTTCCACTTCAATAATTTCTAAAAACGGACACCTGCATCATGGCTTAGGACTACAAATCCCAAGGACTTAGCAAAACCGTGACGAACATATCTCCACCATCAAAAAGTCGCCAAAAATGTACTCGCAAAGCATAAAAGTATATGAGTTTATATTTATGAAAGGATCGACTTTCGAAGAACAATTCTTCCTATACTTGTGATTTGAGAAAATAAAAAATTGTAATGCTGACGAAAACGTTTAACTCTACAAATACATTGCATGAACGGCAAGAATGAGATGAAAACGATCGTATAAAACAAACAACAATGGAATTCATAAAATCTTGCCTCCTTTACAATCACTTGCTAATAAGGAAAAAATTCAAAAGCCAGTTTAAAGTACTTCAAGTTTAATTTGTTGAAGTGCGAAGCTTAGAGATTGCTACAGCACTAACTTGTGCGGTAATCGGATATGTTCATCAAAAGAGACATCTCCAAACCTTACTTTAGGGCCTTACGGTAGAAATATGCTATACGGCCAATACAAATTTGCTTAAAAATTTTGTGGAGTTATTTAACATGCTGTTCACGAAAATGATAGATCGCACAAAAAGACCTCACTGTAAGTAGGGGGCGAGTATACGATGAGAAGATCAAAAACTTGATCTACTGAAGAAGGAAATTTGATAATTCTAAGTATACCATGCGAAATGAGTCACGATGAGTTATGGATATGATTTTGCAATGAGCATGTCTCCAGAAAACCAGGCAAATCAGTGCCTCGCATACTTACAGTAACCCCTACGTATGAACCTATCGCAGAGAATGGCCATATATTCGTAATCGGCAGCCATTTACCTCAGCAAGTAGTGTTGCTGATCCGAATTTTTGATAGAAAATGAAGCTGTCGGTTGAGCCTTTAGCATTAGGAAACATTACATTTACATATTCAATCACTTCTCGTTCAGCTGATTAGTATCTTCAGACAAACCACCTTTTTCTAAATGAAGACTTCTCCTTTTGAGTGACAATGCGCTGGTTATATTGATTTATGTCGCAATTCTTACTCTAGGGTGTTGTGGTTTGTGCAATGGGCTAAGTTGACATTCTGATTAAGCATAACGATAGCTTAGCAATATATTAGCTGATCTGGCTGCTTAGCGAAGCAAAAGCAAAAGTCAACAAGCAAGCAGGCTGAGCAAACAAAAGTTTGTGAACATGCTGTACAGGAGTTTAATGCCTAGAGCAGTTTTTGTATCCATATTTCTTCTAAATCTATTAATTTTTTTTCATTTCAGGTGCTGGGACTATGTTGAAGATGATTGCTACTTTTTATAGCTTGAGCATATTTTGAGTTATGTACCGAAAGTCCCAATTAAAAATTATGGAAATTTCTAGCCTAAGTTTTGAATCGGCGAGTAGCTGAGTATGCAAGCTACTATAGTGGGCTATAAGGCTGCAAATTTGACTACCTGCTACCAGGTTTGAAAAAATTGCCCGTCGGCTGCTGATTGGAGCACTCCTCTATCCACAAAATCTAATGCTCTTCTAAAGAGTATAGACAAATCCTCAGTTATACGTCAAATAATGAGAATAGTTT